ATAATGTACGATTCAAAATTCAAATAATTCAACTGATATATCAATAAATTAAATAATATCTTCTATAATTCAAATAATATATCATTCAAAATTATCCAAGTTATTTTAAACACTTAAATAAATCTAAACATTCTGAATGCAAAAATCAAGATATCTAATCTATTAGAAAATATGAATTAAAATAACTCGCCGTATCTTATTGCTTAATGGATGTAAGAAAAAGCCATAGGGCTTTAGACGTGAATGCCATAACTTTCTTGAAGGATATTATAGAAATTTATACATATTGTAATATATTTAAATTAACTGTATAGAAGGTTATGAGGAATCCGAACAGCAAGTGAAATTCCTAGAGATTGCCAGCTAAGTATAATTTACAAGGATACAATTGTGTCTTTTTTAGTCTTCGCTATCATCAAATCAGTATTAATTTCAAACTGTGTTTTGAGTTACTTATATGCTAGAAATATATTAATTGACATTTGACACGCCTTGGGTGCTCTACTCAAATAGTCTTTATTAAATAAATAATGAAATAACCTACATGATCTTTAACCGATATTAACATATCCTAGAATAGTATAATTACCATAAAAATGTTTCTCGCATTCAGATTTGTATTAATGAAATTAGTTTAGTATTTCATTTAAATATCATTTTCAAATTATCACTTTTCATAATTAGCTAACATTTATTAATGCTTAATAATCGAGGTATTTTTTAAAGAGCTAGACAAAAGATGTGAATTTTTTACAAACTTTCAAGTGAAAAACAAAATTTCAGAATTTTATTTTCTTTTCTATTTTTAGCTGTAAATTCTGAAATCGATTTTATATTTTTACGGGAGGTGCATGAATACATGTTTTCTACTCTGAATAAAGAACAGTGTTTATCTATATATATTATTTCATCGTACTAAGTAGTTCATAAATTCATTTCAGACTTATGCTGTGATTACTGCGTAACTTTCCATTTTTATAATTATCGTCACTTTTTAATATCGTTATTTCTTTAAAAAAATCTTTTGCAGTGTTCTAATTTAGAAATAAAATTACCGTTAATTTTTAAAAGATAAGTTCTGCTTATTATACTAACTGTTTCCCTGATTATACTTTGCTTGGAGAGTGAAAGATATTCGAAAGATTTACATTTGATTAATGGAAAATCTTCGATATTGTTTGAGCAACAAAAAGTTAATTATTTTATTATTAGAATGCAGAGATCAGAATAGTGAAAAGATCAAATTGTTCAGTTTGACACTTCAGTGTATAATGTCTTTCAATATTAGTCAACAGTACCTCTCAGATTCAACCATCAATTGTAAGTAGAAAATATACATTATGAGTAATCCCTTTCAATCTCTAAACATTACTGCTACGTGAAAAGAGGAAGGATAATTTTCGATTGTTTTTCCAGGATTTTCTTAGAGAAATCTAAGTTTAGGCTTAACAGCTGAGCCTTTCCTTTATTTCTGTTTTAGTACAATGTATGGATTTAAACTAGCTGAGTGTCGTAAAAATTAAAATTCTCTCTAATTCTCGGACCTTGATTTTCTAAGCAACTGAAGGAATTTCGAATGCAAGATTTGAATCTTTAAAAGTTGATATTATTTTAAATATTTATCCGTTTCATTATCAGTAACCAAATTTTTAAATAATTAGAATTTTCTGTTTGTAGAACATTCCATTGAAATTTTATTTATCATATTCTTGAGCTTGGGAAAGCTATCTACGAATTTGAATAGTTATCATACAAAGTTTATTTTATTTCTCTGAACAACTGTACTAGAGCGCAAACTAGTTCGAGAGTATATAAGGTAAAATTTTCGTACTGTAAGACGGAGCGTATTCATGCCTCTCAGGTCGAGAAGATAAAGCACTGTGTTTCGCTAACTTAGATACAATCGTATTATTCCGCTTTGCTTTATGCTTGTTGACATTTTAAATTCTTACACCAGTGAGAAGTTTGAACCAGGTTTGCGTTAATGTGAATTTTATCATTAATGTGTATATAGCATTTGGCGTTAATGTGTACATAGCATTTGGTTATCAGACTTAGTTTTCAATATTGAATTTGCTGTTACTTTAAGTTACATAGCCACAAGTGGTTGATTTGTATATGTTTCAGTTTTCATTAAAACAAAGAATATGTCTTTTAACACTTGAAGACTTTGTAGTCCATTTAAGATGAAGCGATAATTCTCTTCAAGTCTACTAGGATTCTGGATTTAGTTTATGCTGGCAAAGAAGACTAAACTCTATAAAGTACTCGGAATAAAATACCACTATTAAATTGAAGCAGAGCATTTATAGCGAGGGCCTTCTTTCTTCCTGTTGCATATAACCTCTTCGCTGCACGCGTGAAAAGTGCATTCAATTGCTGAAAGAATAAAAATAAAAGACCTAAAGTGAATACGATTTTTTGCTGTGCAACTTCTGTTTAACTAATGTTTTCTTACTAAATGTTTTAATCAAGATTTCAAACTGTTCTCTTTTATGTTGAAGATTTATACCGATAATCATATATACAAACATTTTTCATAAATGTTTTAAGTTTTTATTTTTAACCGTTGAATCAATTAGTCACCAATCTCCAGTGCTTCTGTTTTCTGTTCATCTTTGTAACATGAGTGAAATTCATAATAAACTCAATTTGTTTTTTTTTTTTTTTTTTTTTGTAAGCTATTATAAAGATTTTGGTCTCAAACAATATCTGTTTATAGAGATTTGAGTAACAAATAGGAAATCCTTTATAGTTTTATAGAAATCCTTTATAGTTTAAGAGGTAAAGCTTTTCTTTTATTCATACTGTAAAGTTTTATATATTATTTTATTAATTTTCATTTTCCAAATAATAAGCTTTTAAGTTTATAAGACTACTACAAACATATATTAAACTTTAACAGAAAAATATTGGCTACTGTACGTGTCCTCCTTAAGTTTTTTAAAAATTTCTGGTAATAAATTCCAATATGCAAGACGTTTCATTCTAGTAATTATCATTTGTTCTGAAATGTTGCTGCTTTTTTCGGCTCAAATGTTAAGCGTTATATAAATTGAAAGGCATGTTGCGAATTGCACAGCTGCATATACGTTTGATAAATAAATTGAATTCAACAGATAGAACTTAAAATAAATCTTAGATGCGAAATTGGTAAGCATATTTTTTCTGTATGTCTTTCAAGCTTAAAGATGGTTTAAAAATACCTTACTAAACTGGATAATTGAAGTGTTTTCGGAAATATTCAAAAAGGCTTTTATTAACTGGCATACTTTTTTTAGCTTCTCTGAACCTGTTTACATGCTTAATTACTCCCAGGAAAAAGTAATAAACAGTGGAATTTTTCTTGGTTTTCATTAGTTACAACATGCTTGGAATTCAATCTTTTTAATGAAGTTTTCTGTGAAATATATACTCCAGTCGTTCCAAATGTCGTCAAGTAGTTTGCCGAAACAAATAAATATAATGTAAAATAAAATTAAAACTTAAGTGACAGAATTTTTAGGAACGCAGATGTGAAAAGTAAGTCATTTTGGTTTCCATAATTTCCATTAAATATTGTCCAACTACAGTTAGACTCCCGTAAAGTCAACATTCGATTGCTCGGCAAGACCACTTTATGAATTGTGTTGTGTCGCAAATTTTAACTGTACTTATTTAATTTAATTAATCACTATTTAGCTATTTCATTTAACTGAAATTTAAAAGAGTGTAGTGAATGTATATTTTTTAACAGTTAAAATCAGTTTTTTAACAGTTAAAAAAACAGTTTAAAAAAATTTTAACAGTTTATTTTTCGAAGGTCAAACTTTATAACAAAGATAGGGAGCATTTCTTTCTGAACATCTGGACGGAAACGAGGATCTTTGTTCCCTAACTGATATTGTGTATAGCATTTACGGTAAAATAAAAGTCTGGCGGTATAATTTCAGCCTTCACTACAACTTCGCTTTTCCGTTTCTTCACCAGAATATGAAAAGATTTAAAGAGTATGAAAGCTGAGATTTCTGGATTCTAACATAGAGCTTGTTTCTGCCTCTCGAGGCCACTGTACTTAGTATTACTAGATTTGATTGTTGTAATCATTCGGCTTTCCGGTATTTGCTGTCAACATTTAAATTGATACGCCGGTTAAAGCTTCTTGAGCCAGCTTAGATTTAAATATAATTGATTAATTACTCCCAGGAGAAAGTAATAAACAGTGGAAGTTTTCTTGGTTTTCATCAGTTGCAACATACTTGGAATTCAATTTTTTTAATGAAGATTGTCTTGGATTACTAGTCCACGTTTTAAATTTGAATTTACTGTTGCTTTACTTCAATCGCCAGTAGTGATGGTTGATTTTGTGATGCACAAGACGTGCATTTATGGTATAACTTCTGTTAAGTAAAAAAATATTATTTTAAACCTTTTCAGGTTTCTGTCGTTGTCTTAAAAACAGCGATAATCCGCTCTAGGTCTGTTAAGAATTTAGAAATTATTTCTGCACCCAAAGCACAAGAAACTCTATAAGTTCGTTTAAACCTTCATACGCTTTTGAGTTAGTTACTTACATAGAGAGGATAATACCTCATATGCCAATCTCGGCCCAAGTAATTAACTAAATGAAAAGAACTATATAACTGTATTTGCGGGTTTATCATTGACAATCTACCACATACTGTACTAGGGAAACTGTTATTTTTGCCATGTACCATTACTTCTTAAAGCTGTGGTCATCAGTCTTATTAAACCCTGCATATAACAATTACGTTTTTTGCTATAAACCTTTGTAACCATTTGTTTAGAGATCCTTTTGATTCAATATGTAATTGATTTAATTAACAAGAAAAATGCCTCAATATGCCCCAGTGAGCATTATTAAAACATTATTCTTGTTATATTTTAATAGTGTTGTACATTTTTAATAGTTTATTATTCCCATTTTTATGATTATAAGACCTTTTACTTTAGCTAAAGAAAAACTTGAATGAATGCACAGGTGGCAAATTTTTATGTACCTCAACGTCTCCAAACCTGGATGTTTGCAGTTTGCCTTCGAAGTCCAGAGCATAAAATTCCAGCATTTGCTTCCGAGGATTAAGAGTAATTCCAAACTGTGGCTTTCCTAAAATGTCGTTAATCCGGATCAGAAACCAAGGATCTTTCCGGCCATTCTTTTTCCTGAAAGTGGCGACGAATGAGAATTCTTCCGGAAGACCAAGTGGGAATATTGATCTGAAAGAAAAGAGCGATATGTTTCAGAACTCGAAAACATGGATACTTCGACACTGAAAAGGGGATGATAAATGAAGTGTTTACCCAGCGGGATATTCTGGCGCGATCATTGAAGGTTGTGAAATAAATTCGAGTACAGATTCTATTTCAAACTCTCCATCGATTTTTGCTTCAGGAATAATGCTTCGCTGGCTGGCACTGATTCTCAAGTGTTAAGTCACGCATGGCTGAATATCCGATCTTGCACATTGAATTCCAATATGTATAGCGATAATTCGTTAAAGATTACTCGTAAGCACTTGTTGGGGAATAACGGCGCGTTTAAATCTATGTATTAAATATCTTTGTCAAGCCTTTTAATTCTTTGATAAATAGAGGAACAGAAGCATAATTAATTGGAAAGATTTTTTAAGGTATCGCATATCTGCACTTGGGTGCAGAGAATTAATAGCGTTTCCTTATTAGATGGATTTAATTGAATTATTCCCTACTAACGCTCTATTATTTATTTACGTCCTTTAACTATACATTAATTTAAGTAATACGCGCTCACACACACACACACATATATGAAAAGAACAAACACTGAGAGAAAATAAATAAGTAGCTTTCAGCTGCTATTCAATGGTCTTAAATATACGTTTGATCGTACTGTAAGGAATAGTGAAGGACCAATAAGTTCTATCCATCTCACCATCGAGAACATTGCCTAGGGTGTACTGCAGAGGAGTAGAGGGACTTTGTACCCTCGAGAAGCGGGAAGGCGAAGAACAGGAACAAGTTGGGCGGAACATCAGAGCTTCACTAATGATTTCAAAGGTATACTTCTACAGCAATAATTATACAGCAGTTTCACCTCAAACTTACGAGAGGGGGCAACCATTCCACTACAGAGGCTTTTCAGCTAATCAATATTTTAAATGTGCCTATGTCGCAGATATACTATACATTCACAAACATCTAAGTCTTCTATGAGACCCGAACCAGGCCCAGGAAAGCGAGAGCCAGTGTCACTAATCATTAGAGTGATCAGGACGGAAGGAGAGACCCAGGTATAGGTACAGGTTCAAGCAAGGCCGGCATCTGTGCATTCCGGAAGGTACATTAATTATCACAGAGCCTTACTAATTGTTAAGAAAGCTACACCAGCAGGGGACCCCCACGATAGCCGCGTGCCGGTTCTTTCCCATACTTGACTACTTCACTAACTAAAACTAGTCCGGTGAAACAACCCACCTGGATGCCGGAGTTTTGTCATTCTCGTCTACATTTATTAAAATATCAGTGTAGCCCGTAAATTTACAGATAGTAATCATGTGTAGAACTGTGTAAATATTAAAGCAACGTATACATACAATAATTTTATAATACAGCATCACAGAACTACCTTATGCCTTATAAGGTATTTCTCCCGCCTTCCTAGCGTGCCTTCGTGGTGTAGTGGTTCTGCACGCTAGGCTGGTACTCCAGAAGTCCGTAATTCGATTCCCGGCGAAGGTGATTGCTCATTTTTCATCTTGCCTGCTTCCAAAAAAATATACCTATATCTCTACAGCCTTGTTGAATCATGTTCATTTGCATATCTAGTTGGTCATGTTTTTATGTCATTCGCATGTGTAGGTTGTTTCTATGAGCTCCGGCATTTTCCTCATTAGAAGCGGAAATATTCAGCGGATTGTCTTAATTTTAATTGCTATGTATAGCCAAGACGTTCAGCTTTAATTAGACACCAAGTTCGTCAAGATCGGATCATCCAGTAATTACTAAGAGACTAATTACTGCCTCAACGCGTCGTGCACGTGGTAATTCATATCGAACTGTGCTTCCAGATTCGCATAGCAGCCGCCGTTGCCCGATGTCACTGGTGTTTAGAATCGTCGGATGCGGTATTTTACGCTGAGCAATTTGACAGTAATTATGTATGTGTACGGTCAATGGATGCCGAGTAATTGATTTTTAATTGCTTTTACAAGTTTTTCACCGTGAACTTTGACCTTTTCCCCGTCCCTACGGTCAGTTAGAAGCATTCGACCCCCGTCGCCTGTTAACCCGAGTGATTTCCTGTTGTCAACAAAGGGAGAAAGAGGTACTGGAGGCAATTAAACGAATCGCTAATTAAGCCCCTAATTGGCCTAGCGATTTTGTTCAAACGGATTCTTCTGTTTCAAGCCATGGGCTGTATGAGATTGTAAATTTGAAGAAGATCGGTCTGCTACTTCAAAAGTTACTGTTTTTCCGGCATTACCAGGACTTAGGATTATCGTCTTCTACAATAGTGATTAATGCAGTGTGTGTGTGCTTTTTAATTAATTCTGTGCCTGTCTTTATCAATTGGATTACTCCGCAGAAACTACCTATAGTGTACAGCTGATGCACAGAAGAAGTATCGCAGCCAAGCGCATTTCTCTGCAATTTGCTTGCTAGTCACTATTGATTATAGCACTCAACATTTATGTAATAAAATGTACCTGTTACATTCAACCCAGCAATAATACCAGTATTTCCTAATAATATACAAGGCATTTTTGCGGTGTTCTTAAAGTGGAAGTGTGTTTTTGGGTCAAATTAACGTGAAAGTTATGTACGTGGTACAGGTGAAAAGTGATTTAAAGTGTTAACGTGGAAGTGTTATCAAGTGTTGATATTGCATGGTGAAAGTGTTTTCAAGTGTTAAGTGATTTACGCGAAAAGTGATTTAAGGTGTTTACGTTCCGTCAACGGTGATTTATAGTGTGATTTAAAGTGATTTAACGTGATTAAAAGTGATCCAAAGTGTTAACGTGTCTGCAATTTGCGTGCTCGTCACTATAGATTATAGCACTGAAATTTATGTATTAAAATGTACCTGTTACATTCAACCCAGCAATATTACCAGTATCTCCTAATAATATACATGACATTTATGTGGTGTTCTTAAAGTGGAAGTATATTTTTTGTGTCAAATTAAATGAAAGTTATGTACGTGGCACAGGTGAAAAGTGATTTAAAGTGTTAACGTGAAAGTGTTTAAGTTCGATGAACGGTGTAAAAGTGTTAAGTGATTTATGCAAAAAGTGATTAAAGTGTTAACGTGAAAGTGTTATTAAGTTTCGATATTGCACGGTGTACGTATTTTCAAGTGTTAAGTGATTTATGCAAAAAGTGATTTAAAGTGTTTACATTCCGTCAACGGTGATTTATAGTGTTATTTAACGTGATTAAAAGTGATCCAAAGTGTTAACGTGTCTTCAATTTACTTGCTGGTCACTATTGATTATAGCACTCAATATTTATGTATTAAAATGTACCTGTTACATCCAACCCAGCAATAATTCCAGAACTTTCTAATAATATACAAGGCATTTATGTATGTTCTTAAAGTGGAAAAGTGTGTTATTGTCAAATTAACGTGAAAGTTATGTACGTAGTATTTTCAAGTGTTAAGTGATTTACGCGAAAAGTGATTTAAAATTTTACGTTCTGTCAACGGTGATTTATAGTGTGATTTAAAGTGTTTTAACGTATTTAAAAGTGATCCAAAGTGTTTACGTGAAAGTGATATTACGTGGTGAATTCCATCAACACTGATTTAAAGTGATTAAGGTGATACAAGTGTTAACGTGAAAATGATATAAATGTGTTATTAAGTGAAAAGTGCTCAACGTGTATCGGTGATTCAAGAATGACACGTAATTCATCTGCACAGTCGGAAGGAGAGCCTCAGATGCAAAGGTCGGATTTCGATCCGCAAGAGATACTCGACAGTGACCAAGACCATCAAGGCAAAGTTCACCTGCTCTACGAATTTATAAGAAAGACAGCCAGCACTCATAGAAGGGGCAAATTCCTCCTACCTCAAGATCTTCGTGAGCGACTGCTATGTGCTCTGGACGCTCTGGAAACGCTAGCCTTGAGAGGCCCACACCTTGCAGAGAGTCCAACCCTAGCAGACATAGGAGTAAACACGTCGACGGTTCTTTGTTGTGAACTTGCTCACTCGATTCAGCAAAATGCAAAAAGACAGGTGAAGCAGCTCCATGCAAGCAAAGATACTATACAGCAGGATGAGCACCCGGTTATAGAGGGCAAAGATGGCCAACCTACGTACGCGCAAGCGGTAAAGCGGAGATGGAATGGAAAAGGAAAGTCACGAACATGCCGACACTGCTGATCCTCCCTAAACGTGATGAACAGAGTGCGGATATACGCGGGGTACTAGAAAAGCATGTCCAAATTGAAGATCTGTGTGTCAACCTTCGGGGCATTACGAACTTAAGTAGTGGAGGTGTGGCGGTGCGATGCAACAACAAGGATGAAGTACAGAAGATAAGTCAGTTCCTAGCTCAGCACGATAACCTAAAGGATACAGTACGCACGCGTATACCACGGAAGAGAACACCGAAATGCACAATCGACAATGTACCGTACGGCACCTCGGAGGTGGAAGTACAAGAAATGCTACAAAAGTCTTGCAATCTTGGGAATGAAGAGTGTAGAGTCCTCTTCAAGCGCCCGGACAGAAGGAATAGAGCCACAAAGTGGGTGATTGAATGTACCCCTGGTGCCTTTCATGTCCTCATGTCCAAACGAAGATTGTTCCAAGGATGGAGGGAACATAGTATCTACGAGTTTACAGGAGCCAAGCGCTGTTTCCGCTGTCAGGACCTGGAACATACGTCGAAAGACTGCTGCCACAGGCCTTACTGCGCTTACTGCGGAGGCTGTCATGACATTAACGAATGTAAGGCGGACTGCCCTGAATGCATTAACTGCATCATAGCAAACAGAGATTCAAAAGTTAAAGTGGATACACACCATGCAGCGTACGCAGCAAACTGCCCAACATTCCATGCGCACATCCAGAAGATTAAAGCACGTACTGACTACGGCGAGGACAACTAATTTAATAGCCCAGCAAGCAAGGCATCGTCTACCTACTACTACAACAGCCAGTTCACTTAATAACAAGCGCAACTCTCTAGGAAGCAAGTCAAGTATTTTCACAGTTAGTAATTTTACCTTA